CAGAAAACGCAAGGTAATTGAAACAATGATGATAAGAAAAACTACAAATGACAGGCGTGGAAAACGAGTGTTCAGAAGCACCTGAACGCATCACAGGCTCAGATGTATGTGTGGGAGAGAGGAAGGTGGCGTCGCCTGCATGGATGTTTCCCCGCCCTTCTAAAAGCCAACACAAACACACACACTAAACTATTCTCCTTCAGTCATATACCTATATAAACCATACACATTCTACCGACCACACCTGCTGCCATTCTTTCCACACTACAAACATGTAACTGATAAAAGTGAACATTAGTTTCCTCCACACCGCATCATGATGTGAGGTGTGTTTGTTTGCGGTGGCTCCGAGCCCGCAGAGGCTGCACACACACACACACACACACTGCAGTGTTGCAGGATAATCGGAATATTTGATGAGTTCAAAAGCAAATAAACATAAAGTAGCCTGAGTATACATTACATCCTGGTGACCCCCAGTGATATTGATGGGACTCATTAACTGAGGTACTCTGTGTGTGTTTATACTTTTATTTGGACATATTAGGACGTGTTTCGGTGTCATTACCAGCTTTCAGGGAACCAGTATTTGTTAAAGGGCAAACATATTTTCCTAGTGAGCAAAAACCCTGATCTTTGGGGCCCTGGTTGAGGTTAGTGCTTTGAATATTTTAAGTATTTGCTGATTATGGTGGGTGTCAACAGTCTGGATGCAGACTCCACACATTGCATATGTATGCAATGTGAAAAGAAGCAAATAGATAAAAAAATCTTTTCAGTTGAACATTGTGAATGATGAGGTTTGGAGGCTTGTAACCAAAAACAAAACCCTTACACTAACTGTTTACTGATGTTATAAACCACTTCACTTAATTCTGCTTGTTTATAAAATTACAGGTAAACAATGTGTACATTTGAGGAGTCACTGAAAACTGGAACTGGAAAAATAGTCCATCATTGGGATGAAAATGTGACAATTACTCATGCAAAATGTGTCATTTAGTTTAGATCTATTTGTGCTAGTTCTGATTTCCCATGAATGTGTCATGAAGGTTATTCTTATTATTTTCCTCTGTGGTGGGTCAGATGGTATTTTCACCTTTTGTGAGCAGTGTAATATTTTATAACTTACCATTGCTGTAATGGTGACATACATAATAAAACAGTGCTACAGCTATCTGGTGCATGTTACAGAAATCCTCTCCGTATTGCATCTGCAGTGTGTGTGTGTGTGTGTGTACGCGCGCGCCTGCATGCACTACATGCACTGTGCACTCCTCTGTGCTTGGGGACAGCCCTGCGCCCCCAGCCATGTGCGTGGGTGGGATCAGTTAGAGCTGCTAGTACTGGGGGTTTGTGTACAGAAATAAACGTAGTAAATATTTGCAGGGTGTCTTCCTGCTGTCACCGCCCCCCCCTCTGCTCGCCCTCATTTCTCCTTTCCCCATGGAGCAAACAAAGCTTTGCGGAAGGGATCACATCTCTGCTGCATTTAACCTCCGTGTGGCTCTACGTGATGTCATATTGATCATAATGCCTCTAATTTCATTCACACAGATGCTTTAAGAGCCTGTGTGTCTTAATTCTTAGCATCTCGTTTGACTGTGAGTCGTACCCTGACTAAGGAGTCGAAGTAGTGTGGTGCATCCACAGATGCTCTGAGAGGGTAATGGCAGCGATGGCAATGGGTGTTTTTTATTGGTGTAATTTTTTGGCACCAGTGCAGACCATCCATCTGTATTTATTTGTAAAGAGACCGCTGATGTAACACTAGCTGCTACCATTGGTATTTATTCTGGTTTCTTCTTGGAAATAAAAATCAAAAGATGCAGGAAGGCTGAAAAATAAACTAAAGAGTCATATGATCTGTATTTTTAATAGGCCACAGTGTACTATGTGTAGGTGTGTTCATAAACCCCTGTGCTTCATTCCATTTGGATTTCACTTATTACTAGGGTTGTCCTGATGATTATATGAGTATTATAAGAGCACAGGAAGCGAAACCAATAGGTGGCGAAGCTCCATGGTTAACAGTTCTGGGCGTGAGCTCGGCCCAAAACTGTGTGTCACTGTTTATGTTTAATAAACAGTTCTTCTTGTCTGAGAATTTTTAGGAGCAGATTTTAGGAGATTTGAAGAACTTGTTGCAGTGAGCTAATTTTGACCTGAGACAATTTCCTGTGTTTTGCGGGCAGAGCTCTGGTGAGAGTTTTGCTTGAAAAAGGGGGTGGAAAGTATTTTTGCCAACTTGTAGTTTCTTGCTTTTCCAGACATAGTCAGACCTGTATTCAGATGGGAGAGAAGAAAACTGTTGTGTTTGTTCAAAATTTGGTGGTTCTGTGATTCATTTCATTCAGTGCCGACTATCTGCCGACTGTCCGCACACAGACACAAACACATATCTCACACGTTGAATATCAAGCACCCACTCACCTTGAGATTTTCAAAAGGCTCCACTCTGTTTGTCCTGATCACAGAGGAGCAGCATCACATCTTCACTGGGCCTATGGAAGGTTAGCAGTTTGTCTCAAAGAGAACTTTTTTCTTTCTATTGATGTCTCTAAGGACATTAGTGAAGTCTAGCTCAGTGTAATATTAAAAAACTGCCAGCTTGTCTGTGCTGCATGTGTGTGTGGAAATAACCACAAAAATAGAGACTAGACAGACAGAAAGAATGGATGTGTCCCTACCTTCGATCCCAGAGCTTCATAACAGCTGTACGGTCTTGGTATAATGAGCTGCTGCTGCTGCTGCTGCCACCTCCTCCTCTCAGTATCACTGTACAGTATGGAATTGTATAAGGTGAATTAATCTAAAGCTATTGGAAAAAAGAAATCCCATGTTCGCTATCAGGTACGATATTCTACTCGTTTTTTGTAAGTGTGTTGTATACAGAACTTCTGTTTTGAATCTTTAACAGTAGAAATAGGGCAAAATATATAAAATGCACCACTGCAAACAATAGTTTTCTCTGTATTGCCTTTGAAACACTTTTTGTGGAGAGAATATTCTTTCTATTCAGATGTTCAAATAACGCAGCAGGGTGTTGACCCCAGTGTATAAGACGGGGCAGAAGGTTTTTGGTTTTGGCTTGAATCTAGTCATGTCTTAGCTCACACATCTGATTGATTCAAATTGTTAAAACCAGTACGTATTTGCATTTTATCATTGGTATTTAAAGTTTCTACATATAAACTTTTTCATACGTTTAAGAAGTCAGTGTTAATGTGGTAGTTAATCCTAAAATGTTATAAGTCATGTTGTATGTCTGCTTGTATGATCCTTCCTTTACCCTGTAACAAGGAGAAAATAGGGATGGTATGTATTTATTTTGCAGTTGGCAAGACAGCCCAACAGTCCATCTGGTTTTTGAAATAACACTATTAGAATCTAAAAACTGCATCTTAAGAAGTTTTCTTTTAGGATTTTAGAGAACATTTAAAATGCTGGTTCCCACAGCCAATGTTCCCTCTAAGCTGCACACGTGCGAAATCGCACACTGCTCGAACATATTCAGCCCACAAGAAAATCTGTCTGGCGCAGAAAAATAAAAATTCCACATAAATTGTGTTGTAGGTATTATTTTGTTAACAATTGATCCGAAAAATAACGTAATGATCTTACTGAGTGACATGTGTCCAGCCAATGATACGAGACGGTTCACTTATGCTACGCAGGCAATCATACCATTGACAGTGCTTGCATATATATGTACCCTGCCCATGTGTGCCGTGGCGCCGTGCAGGTTAGCTAGGTAATAACGGTGCGGTGGAATCAAAAGAAATGCAAAATGCTAACGAACGGGCAGCGACCCGTCCACTCACCAAGTAAAGTAAAAAAGAATTGCGGTTCTTTTGAAATGAAATGGCTGTCAGAATAATAACCTTTTAAAAATAACATAAATGATCATATAGTTTCATACAGTTTTGTGGCCTACATTTCAGACATTTCAGAGTCGTATTCACAGTTATCCAAAATAGAGTAGAGACTGCTGCATATTTATGCCTGTACATAAAACATGTGCTGTATAAGCACTTATGCATGGAAGGTTTTTATGTTTTTTCATGGGTGTGTGACTGGAATACAAATCTTACTGTTTTAGTTTTTTTTCTTTTCCTATTTTGCATCTTTGTCCATTTTCAGAGTAGTGATGCTTTAATACACAGTACACATGAGGCCTTACTGACTACACATTCACTGCCAGACTGGAGCTGCATCCATTTATGGGCATCTCCACATGTTTTGGATGCAGAGATGATGCAAACACTGATGCACTGTCGCTGTTGAATTGTGTTTCTTGTTTAAGGTTTGCTAAACTGGCTGCTATTTAGATTCAGTAAAGCTGCATAAAAAGATGGGTTTTGACAGTTTTGCCGATTGATATTTTGATGATTTTAAAAAAGAAATTAAATTATGATCAAACTGCAAACTCCTCCATGTTTATGACCTTACTCTGAATCACAAACTATTCAGTCTGGGCAGCGAACACTTCTGACATTGACATTTACAAAAACATTTCAAAATGTAATTTTCTTTTTAATCTGCGTCCTTCTGCCTTTGACTCCTCTTAACTACCTCCCCAAACTCCGTTCTTCTTCCCTCTTCTCTCCCCCTCCCTCTCTCCCTCCAAGGCTCTTTTCTTTTTACATCCTCATGCTCACAGTGGCTCATTGGCATGCCAGCTTTTCATCTGCATGCTTTTGGACTGCTGCTATATATCTGTCCTCCATCCCCTGTCCCTACCCACCCTCGTCCATCCTTCTAACAATACTATCTCACATTTGTATAGAAATGTATTATTAATCAATAATATTCATGTCCTGCAGCAGAAGTTGTAATTCAATTATGTACAGTAAATCATTCACAATCCCTGTGAGCAGGGCAGAAATATAAGAGAATGAATTTTTACACAAGCCAGAATCAGCGCACACACACATTTTCATTTTTCATCATACGTACTGTATATGTAAGCTAGAAGTCACATTTTCCAAATTTTCCTGTTTAAGGATCTGGAGTTCCTGACATTTACTGTATTCAATCTGATTGTGGTGTTAACAATATGTCTGGTAGAAGCTGATGTTTTTGCCACTGGTGCTGCCAAATCTCTGGCCTATCCTCACTCTGAATCCCCCCTCTCTCCAGGCGAAGTCATGTATCTGCCACACGTGCGGCGCTCACCTGAACCGACTCCACTCCTGCCTCTACTGTGTCTTCTTCGCCTGCTTCGCCAAGAAACACATCCACGATCACGCCAAGAGCAAAAGACATAACTTGGGTAAGACACTGTTTTCATTTGAACCGTTTTGATATAGTCTTAGTCCTTTGACCTGGACTATTTCAAATCTGTTCAAAGTTTGTTCTTCTTCTTTGTTCTTTTCTCAATTATTTGTCCACACAGGTTACACGTTCTTCTGTGTGTCTTGTTTTTGATGACTTTTAAACCATGAGTTGACCCCATGTTCCCACTCCTGCCTGTGTACCATCCTCTCTTTATTCAGTTAACAGACATGTGTTTACTATGATTGGATATCTGTGTACATGTACCACATTCTAGACAACAACCAGAGCTCTGATTGGCTCTCACCCTCCTTTGTGTTTGTGTAAAGTATTCACGTATAATTGACTGCAGTAGTTTTCAAGACAGATTTCAGATGGCATGTAACCTCCATCACTCACTTAAGGTCCTGTGATAAGGCCCACTGTCATGATCACCTGTATGAGCTGTCACTAGGGACGGGTGTTTAATAAGAAATTAAAGGTACAGATGCTTTATCAGAACCACTCATCCGTTAGTTTCCTTATGATTGTCATTACGGTTACAAAATAGAATACTGTACAGACATTTTACCCTGAAATGTATTGTTAAGGAATCAGACCATTGGCAGCCAGTTCTTCACACGAAACGGTTCTTCATTCTCATCACTTGTGTCTTGTAGCCCAGTACCTACAACAGTGCAGAAAGTCAAAACCACTGGACTGTGTCTGTCTTTTTGGCTATGTATATTTGCAAGCTATTTATATTTACATATATATTTTTTTTTTGATGCATTTAATGAAGCATGTACAGTTGGAAGTGATAATGAGGGCTATTATGCAACCTGCCGCAACATCATCGCAACACTGCCTGAAGGGCTTTGAATGTCACCAGTGTATTTGCCCTCATGTAGCCCATTAGAGGCAGTGTATGCATTGGTGAACTGACTAATGAATGAGGAGGTTTGTTTGGATGGCTGATTAAAATTAAGCACATTCAGGCATGCTGAAAGTCTGCTTTATTGCAGCTTATCTCTTGGCTTTTGCAATTAACTTCCTCTCAAATCCTTTGGTGCAGTATATGTGTTTGTGTGTGTGTGTGGCTCTGCACGTGCGCCTATGAAGCTGGTTTTTGCAAGAAAAAAAACAAATTAGATTTGTCTCCTTGTTTTGACAGCATTATTATTCCAGGTCTGCAGATGTAATGGAAAACATCGCACAACATTGGTTTCAGTGATGATCTCGATTAGAATTTTAATGTTCTGCTTTGGAAAGAAAAAAAAAATCAGAAATACAATTTCTTTCCTCGGGAGCTCCACGCCACCCGAGTTGGCCTCACAGGAGGTCACTCTATCTGAAACAGGGGTGCGGTGTGTGTTGAGCTTTGATCCTCCAAATTCAATATTTGTACTGGAGACACAATCTGTATAGAGTGGTATTTAATCAAAGATGTGGGTGTTTGCTGAACA